CCTGGTTAAATGTCATTTCATGGAAAGGTTGTATGTTGTCACTGACCTTCTCCCGGCTACAGAATGTGACACTCATTACATTTTATGTGCACTAGAACAGTATGCTATGGCTGCTTATTATCTGTGACCCAGGGGTCAAATAACAGAATCAAAGCACGGCTCTCCTCTGGATTTGTGAATGTCACCTAGATGTAATAAAACGCTTTGTGTGTCACTATAGCCGGCTTCATCCAGTGGGGGCCACAAGCCATTATTCTGTGATCACCCTCTAGAAATAGAATAGCGCCCCTGGTGGCCAAGAGGTATATTTATGTTCTGAAGCTCTCAGGCCTTATGATATCCCCCAAAGCAGGTTGTTGTTGTGACCCCGCTTTTTATATTTTACCAAAAATATGGGTAATAAATGGGTGTGGTTACTGGGGGTGTGGCCACTGAGGGGTGTGGTCACTGAGGGGCGCTGTAAAGCTTTCTCTCACAGGGCGCCTAAAGGTCTAAGGCCGGCCCTGGTTGTAGGGGTAGTCTTACACCTGGATCACCGTCCCACTGGGTGCAGACATGGGAAAGAAATGGTCAGCCACAGCCTACATGCTCAATGTGGTGTTTGGTCCAACCCGATCCTATTGGTGATTGGCTTTCCATTTAAGTCCCAGGAGACTGGACTGGAAAGATTTTGGAGGAGGGGCTAAGGCTCCAACCCAGCCACACCCTCAAGATCTCCTTAGAGCAGCTTATGGGCTTTTGTTGACAGACTTGTAAAGGAATGCAAAGTCCATTGGAAAGCAAACCCACTTAAAGCAGATCAAATGCAGCTCAGAAGGAAGTCAGCTGCTGGTCAAATGCATCCGTCCATGCATTCTGAATGATCCAAGATGGCTGGTCTTGATTTTTTTTGTTTACAGGTGTCCAAATCTTCCTGTAGGCAGCATTATAACCCAACAGCAGCGTTCTTGTGTACCTTAATGAATGCTAAAGAAAACCTGTTTTCCCCCAGTTTATTGAGGGGGACAGTTCTCTCTCTATTTTGCCCCCATTAGTTTTATTCAATGGTCCTTACTGGTCTGGATAGCTGGGGACCACCATGCATCTGGAGAGTCTATATAGGAATCAATGGGACTGCAGAGTGCACTACAGAGCAGAGCCAGCCAGGATGTTTGGACCTCTATGGCCTATGTTGCAAGGAAGGGTTGCACCACTCTAAAATTTAAAGTGAAATTGCAGTTTTAATATTTTTTTTTTTGTGGCATCAACATCTTAATCAAGAGAGCGAGGCAGCCAGCTTTCTGCAGAATCCAGCACATAGCACTTGTATACAAGTCTCTCATGTGCAGCAAAAAAACATTTCAATGGTGTAGCTTTTTGCAGACATGTTGGACTTGCTCAGCTATACTATGCTGAGATACACACAACCTATTTTATTTAGCTCCTCCCCCATGTGTTTGACTGTCATATGATGGGGATCCCATAAATAGGAGGTTTTTTTTCCCCCCAGAAAGGGTTGAGTTTCAAAAATTGCAATGGGACTAAAGTGACCAGTTTAGGTGGAGACATTTGTAAATGCCTCCATCTAGTGGGAGCAGTACATAGGCATCTGATTAGGACTTACTTTAAGCAGCTGTGAGGCAGTTTCTATGAGTTTGTCAAGGCAAAATAAATGTACATACACACATTACTGTGCAAACATTTTAGGCAGGTGTGAGAAAATGCTGTAAAGTAAGAATGATTTCAGAATTATGTGTTAATTTTTTTAATCAACAAAATGGAAAGTAAATGAACAGAAGAGAAATCCACATGAATTGAATATTTGGTGTGGCCACCCTTTGCCTTCTTCTAGGTACACTTGCACACAGGTTGTGAAGGAACTCGGCAGGTAGGTTGTTCTAGGTACATCTTGGAGAACTAAGCACAGATCTTCTGTGGATGTCGGCTGCCTCAAATCCTTGTGTCTCTTCATGTAATCCCAGACAGACTCCATGATGTTGAGATCAGGGCTCTATGGGAGCCAACCCATCACTTCCAGGACTCCTTGTTCTTTATTACACTGAAGATAGTTCTTAATGACATTGGCTGTATGTTTGGGGTTGTTATCCTGCTGCAGAATACATTTGGGGCCAATCACACTCCTCCCTGATGGTATGGCATGATGGATAAGTGTCTGCTTGTATTTCTCAGCATTGAGGACACCATTGATCCTGACCAAATCTCCAACTCCATTGGCAGAATTGCAGCCCCAGACGTGCAAGGAACCTCCACCATGGTTCACATTTGCTGCAGACACTCATTATTGTACCGCTCTCCAGACCTTTACTGAGCAAACTGCCTCCTGCTACAGCCAAATATTTCACATCAGTCCAGAGCTCCTGCTGACATTTTTCTGCGGTCTCACAGCCAAAAAGCCATACCTCCGACGTAGAGACCAGGCTAAGCGACTCAACTATGCATGAAAACATAGGGACTGGGGTGCAGAAAAATGTTTGGCAATTGATAAAAAAATAAACTAGTAACACTTTTTCATTCTTACTATTCTTTACTTTTGTGCAGTACTTTATCAAAACAGGAGCAGAGAGAATCTGGGGCAGTTACCCATGACAACCAATTAGCGCCTCTCTTCAGTTAGCTCAGGTAAGATTTTAAAATGGGACAGAAAAGCTGATTGGTTGCTGTGCAAATCTGCTCCAGTTTTGATAAATCCCCTCCCCCCCCATGTTTATAAATATATCACACATACAAAACAATACTTCTCTGCAATACAAGTACAGTTGCCCATGTTTATCCCTTTAAAAACCCGGCCAGCACTAAACAAATTCCTGTTGATCTGCCAGAAATTCACTCAGCTCTTGTGCCCTGCCCTATTGAGGGTTGACAACACACAGCGTTTTGTGGATGGGTAATGTCAGCCCTCTCACTCTCAGACCTCGACAACAGAAGGGCTCATCATTCTGTAGCCCATGATAAGATCTAGAAGGGCTCACTAGGCTCTCTGAGCCAACACAGGAACAATGCAGAGAACACAGCACAGATTTTTGCACTCATCAAATAGGTAGAACAAAAAGGTTCCAATGGTATTTAATAGACCAAAAGAGCAAAAAGAAGGAAGGAAGCGTTTGTTGTTAAGGCTTATATGCACTGCCTCCCGTATTGCCCATTATTCCTGCCAGTAGGTCTATTTTTCCACTTCCTTTACGGTCTTGGTCACACAGGCTTTAGCTGGTCTGAGAGCTGTGTGTACAGGACGTTTGCAGTGTGTTAGGGTAGATGATGGGATGTTTTGTTGAGAAAATGTGCAGAAAGGTGAACTAAACCTGTGAAGTACCAACTGTCACCTAACCAGGTTTCAGCATTCTTCCAACAAAATTCACGTAGTGTGACTAGGAGGGAGAGATTATGGAGCGCCCTGGAGGTCAAACCTTAGTCTCTAACTTGGTTTCAGTGAGTCTGCAAAGTCATTTTTAAGTTAAAGCGGACCTTTTACACTCAAAAAATCAGGTTCTACCAATGCATCCCTCTATGTATGATAAGAACATAGACATGTCAGGTGTAAAATGCCGTGATTGTGAAATACTTTCAAAAGCAGGAAGTGAATGCTCTGCAAGTGAAAGTGCAAAATGACTTCAGTTTGCCAAAGCAATGCACACTGGGATTGCCATCAGCAGAGCATTGCTGGGAAATCTCATCACAGTGAAAGGCATTTTCCTCCCCTGAGATGATGTGCCAGAAATCCGGGAAGTAATAGGAGAGCTAGTAATCTGCCCTTAGTAAACATGGCCACTGCCAGAAGTCTGGGGAAGAAAAGAGAAACAAGGTATGCAAAGAATACAAAGCCGGCAATTATCTAGAAGGATGTGTGTGTAGATTGTCATTACTAAACATTTATAAGGGTAAAGGTCCGCTTTAAGTACACTGCACAACTGCGGGATGAGGAAACTGGAGGGAAGACTGAGAATGTAGGTTGTTAGTACAAAGTCCTTGTGACTGAATATGTTTCGAAGAGAGTGCTCGGTATACATCACAATAAGAAGTACGAGTGGAGAAATGATTGCAAAGACGGCAAGCCAAAATAGTGTAAAATTCCAGTCATTTATTGCTGTATATTATCGCAGCTCTTGAACGCTTGAGTTTAAAATGGTAACATTTATAGATAGCTCTTCTCTTAATTGTACAGATAGGCCTTAGAGGAAAGCAGCTTCTCCATAGTACTGACCTACAGCAATAGATAGGGATGTAACCCTGCACAGTGGGTGACACCGAGAAACCAGACACACACCGAGAGTGCACGTGCCGTAACCCTTTATTAAAGACGTCTCCTGGAAACTGGTTTACTCTAAAATAATTTACATCTGTGCCCAAGTCTGGCAACTCTCCCACCTGTCATTTTCACCTTCAGTCACCCTTATGTCTTCATACCTAGATTTCTCTTTATATACAGATCTCCTACATCAGTACAAACTAGTATGAAGTAATGACTGTTTGCATTCGGAAACACATTGGGTGGCTGAATAAATACATTGAGCCAGCCTGGATCCTTGTTAGGAGGACTCGGTGGCTGTTGCTTCTGTGCTGCTGACAGTGACTCTCTCTGTGGGTGGGAGGTCCGCACTGCCCAGCTCTTCTGCTGTGGATGTGGCATTTTCGGTGATGGGTGCAGAGATGTGGTCCAGCAGTGATGGGGCTAGATCAACAGATATCGGTGCCAGGGGAAACGTTGGAAACTGAGGATTTACAGAGAGGGGCGGCAGACCTGCCAGGTTCAGTGGGGGCAGTGGGCCCAAGTGGGGCAAATGTGACACTGCAAAGAGAAAAGACATTTGTGTTAATTTGAAAATGTACACATCTAGAAAAGAGGACAATAAAAACAGGTCCAGCAATGAGTAGTGCAGAAAAACATTATTTGCGAGGGGCAAGGAGGTAAGGGCACCATCCTGAGATCACTGGTCAATGACAGGTAGGTGGGATTAGGTGGCCAAGATTCCAGGATGGTGCCCTTACCTCCTTGCCCCTAGCATATTATTGCACTTCTAGTACCTACCACCTTCAAAGAACTTTTGCGGTGTCTGTGACAAGTGGGAAGCCTGTGAGATACGTTTGGAGGTGCCCAAAATATAAGTAACCAATCCCACCACTCCAAACAGCGATACATTTCTGCAATTCACTCAGCAAATGAAGTTGTATCTTAGAATGATAGCTGTAGCTGCTAACAGGAAAACTTTCAAGATGTCCTTATGGGCTGCCACTAAGGCTCCTGGTATAAACAGAGAGAAGGGCAATCTCCAGGAGAAGGAGGAGCCTGTGACTCGTTAATAGGTCTAAAAGACTGAGGCCCAAAATAGGTGGAGTGTCTACAGGACCACCAGCAGGCATGTAACAGGGTTCCCATTTTCTTGCCATACCTCTGACATTGGTTGGAAATAGAGGGGCAGATACTATGGAATATAAATGGGCAACGGTACCATCTAGTAAATGTTTGAAGAATTTCATTGTGAAATGAGCTGGCGATACTTGTGGCGGTCAGTACACATTCTTTTTCTAATCCCTGTTTTAGGGGGAAACATGTCAAAAGGTGCATGGGATACATAATGTGTGGGGTGTCAGCTAGGTGTATGCAAAGAGCCTTGAAAAGGGTTTAGGTCTCTGACAAGGGGGCTCTGTTTTTTTGGAAAACACAAGTTTCATGCTTGAATATACCAAAAAGCTATTAAAAACATACAATTCTGTGTAAAGTCCGGAAGTCCTGGCCGAGGGATGAGGTGGGGAGCGGGCATGTTCAGGTTGGGCAGATTCTGTAACGTAGGGAGTCCAGTGGATAATGGTAGGAAACCTGGAGGAGGAAGAAGAAAGGGAGACCAATTACAAATCACATTCCCACCCATAGTCTGATCAAACACATTGAGGAAGACGTACTAAAGTAGTGCTGAATCTGCACTCTATAAACTTTGTAAATATTCACTTCAATTATCAAATCATGTGAAAAACAAATTCATGCTTCCTTTGTCATATGCACATGAATGGCAGTGAACATGAACCATTAGATACTGGAAGTAAACAAACAATCACATACAACAATACTCTGCACACAGCTTATACTAGTTTGACAAATATTCAGAGATGACATTTTGCTGACAGAGCTCTATGCACAGCTGTTCCTTCAGATAGAGAGTGCAAACAACTGGATCTTAATGAATTTACAGCACATCCAGAACTTTAACCAGATTTCACAAAGCTGTAACAACAGGGTTCATACTAAAACCTTCATAACAATACACCATAAAGAAGTCACAACATGTTAATGTATCACAGATCGAGAAGTAAAGACTGCCGCATACATATAAGAACATAATACAATAAAAGTAATAACCGATCAGATTTAAAAACAAAATGAGTAATACCAAGCGTCACAACAGCCCGATATGAGGTTACCTGGCAAAGAGACTGCTGGGTTCAGGGGAACAGAGGCGAGGGAATTATTTATTTGTGGGTTTAATAAGGGAACTGTTGGTAAACCTGTGGAGGAGAAAACATGCACATTGGTTACTCCGGCATCCCTGAAGGAGAGAAAATGTGTGAGCATTAAAATGTACATTTGGATAGCTAGTAGCAGTAGTAGCCACATTGAAATTAACTTGCTCTGTAATGCTGAAGAGGTTTCTAGATTCTCCAAGCCACTTTAGTTACCTGGAGCTAGCCGCGCGGATCTGTTAACCTGGAGCTAGCCGCGCGGATCTGTTAACCTGGAGCTAGCCGCGCGGATCTGTTAACCTGGAGTTTGTTCCCATCACTCTATAAAACTGAACAAGCAGCTTGGATAAGCTACAAGTCCAGTTGAATGTAACTAACTACTACAAGCTATACCATGACCTGGAGAAATGAGAACCTTCACATACATACATTTGTATAGTGGATGGCAGCTATGAATATGATCCGGTGAAGGATTATGTTGTAGAAGGAATACTGAAGCAGTTACAAAAATCACTCTCGTTTTTCTGTGGCTCAGTTGCACTAGGCACTTGAAGGACTAGGTCATGATAATAATTTTGGAGATCAACTACTGAATTATTCTCTAGAAAACCACCACTGTCAGCAGCTAATCATTTTATCCAGAAACAGTTTCACAGCGACACAGACACATCACAGCCAGCAATATAAAGATGGAAACAATAATGGGAGCAATGTGCAGCTCCTCTCAGAGATAGACACCATCTGTTCTAACAAAGGATTCAAGATCTGAGTTACTGTTTCTAATGCTGCCAGGTTTGTTCACTGAGCTGCACGTGTGGCACAGTGTAAAGTCAGAAAAGAAAAAACCAAATGCAAACCATTGACTGGAAGGGAGAAGCTTTTATGACAGAAGATACATACCGAGTCTCTTCTAGCATGCAAGGCCTACCAGTCAGCGGTTTCTCTTAAAAACAAGGGCTTCCTGACAATGTAAATTGTATAAAGTCTAATAAGGTCGATCTGAACTTGATTAACACAGAGCTATGAAATGGCCTGCTGGCCCGAATTGGTAACATCAGGAAAAGCCAGTCTTTAGCACAATGTATACCTGAGGTAAGAGCACTAGTGGCTGCAGGTGAATTGGAGGCGATGGACAGTCCAGAAAGACTTGCTTCAATTCCCGGAGTCCCAACAGGTAGTGTAGGAGGAGAGTTCACAGAAGATAACTGGACCTGAAACAAAACACACATCATTAAAGAAATGATACTGCCCGGAGATGTGTTCTTGTGCTGCACTTTCTGCAATGATAGAACCTGGGGCAAAGAAAACAAGGGACACCACAATTCCCCTCCCAGCTTTGTAGCTCCATGTGTCATCTATCTGCTTGCTGGACAATAAGTCACAGTGTGCTGATGCTGATTCAGTCCAGTGAGCAGGCAGGTGACAAAGTTAGTGCAGCAATAGGAGTTTTCTCTCCGTCTATGCAGGGTGGCAGAGGTATGTGAAGATGAAAGGTTGTCATCTGACAGGTATGTAGGCCAACAACAATAAAAGTACAGACCTCTGTAAAACCATCCTTTAGAGGACTCACAGGAGCCCCCGGAGAATGCTGTGTGGGCAGAGATATATTCTTTCCTTCTTCAAAGGGCCGAGTGGGTATCCTATGCAGATAACCATAACCGATGCCACAACCTAAGCTGTA